TGACTAAGGTGGGATTCGAACCCACGCCACTAGTGTGACCAGGGCCTAAACCTGACGCGTTAACCTCTCCGCCACTTAGCCACTTGGTGACTAATTGTTACGGTACAATTAAATAAAGAAAAATTAAACTATTTAAAGAAAATATTAAAGTAAAAAATATCATTAACAATTATAAATAAATAATAAAAATTTGAATATTAAAATATTAGTTATAGAATATTATAAAGTTAAATAAAAATAATTAGATGTATTAAAAAATCATGTATTAATTATATTATTTAATATTGTAAAATTTTTATATAATATTTTAATAATTTAGAAAATTTAAGTTTATTATATTTTTATTATTATATTTTTATTATTAAATTTTTATTATTAAATTTTTATTATTAATTTTTTTTATTTTTATTTTTAATCCAATCAAATAAATATTTTATTAGTATAAAAAAGAACAAAGTAACACAATACTTTTGTTCTCTCTCTTTTTTTCTTACGACTTTATTATTATATTATTTTTTTAATATTTTCTAAAAGTTAAATAATAAATTAAATAGTTTAAAATAAATTAAAATTTATTAAATAGTTTTTTCTAAATTTAATGTTTTAAAAGTGTTTAATTAATAGTTTTGTGTTTAGTGTATAATATTAAGATAAGTATAGTATAAAATTAGTTTAGTAATAGATTAGTTGTATTAAACATTTTATAGAAATAGTAATAGATTTAGAGAAATTGTTTAGTTTAGATTAGAATAGTTTAGATTAAGATATTAGTTTAAGTTATTTTAACTTTGTTTAGATTCTTTTAGATTAGGATAGTTTAGACTAAAATTAGAGTAGTTTATTAATTAATTTAGGTTTAGAATTAGAGAATAATATTTTAAATTTTTCCTTATTATTAGAATATATTATTTTATTAATAAAATCTTCAGATCTTGTACCATAAAATTTGGCGAGCTATGCAGGACCTGAAGAGATAAAATAATATGAAAATAATAATTTGAGAAAATTTTAATAATTAATAAGGTTTAAAAAAAAAAAAAAAAAAAAAATTTAATTTAATCAATAAATAAATAATAAATAAATAATTAAATAAATAGTAAGATAAATAAAATAAATAATAATAAATAAATAAATAAAAAAAAAAAAAAAAAAAAAAAAAAAAAAGAAAGATTATTCTAAAATATTATTAATAGTAGTTATAAAAAATTAATAATTATTAAAAAAAAAAAAAAATTTGTTATTTTTACTTTTTTGAGAATATTAAAATCAAAAAGTATAATAATTCATATACAGTGTTTAAACCGTAAGAAAATTAATTAATAATAAGTTAGGGTGATTCCAATTTATTATTAATTAAGGTTTTTAATCGATCTCGTGAGTGCGTGAATACGTCCCAAAGTAATAATTATACTCCCCACGGCACTTTCTGTAGTTTATCAACTATCCGAGTGTTGTCAGGGTTTTTGGACAAGATCGAGCACTGGAACAATAATGAACTTATATCACCGAAGGTATAAGGTTTTCTTTTTTAGAATTATTATATTAATATAAAATAAAGTCGCGTCAATAATAAATAAATCGAAATATTCAGCAAAATTTTTTTCAGTTTATTAGCAATTAAAATTTCAATTCAGTAATAGTTTAATTTTTCAATTTAGTTATTTCAAAATTTAGTTTAATTAAGATATAAAATTTTTTTTAATCATTCATCCATCCATCAACTTAATAAAAATATACAATTAAAAGAATATATTAATTCATCAATTTAATAAATAAAACAATTAATAATAATAAAAATAATAAAAATAAATTTATATAAGACATTTATCTCCTCATTCATCCATCAATTCATCAATTAAATATTAAAAGCATTAGATTTTTTTTATCAAAATGAAAATTTTAGAATTGGAAAGGCTATTACCCAGACTTAACGAAAGCGCAAGGGATGTCGATTCATGGATCGATGAATTTTCAAGAATAATGGCACTGGCTGATATCACCAATCCAAGAAGCATTCTTACCTGGGCAATGGAGTGTGTAGAAGGAAAGTTGAGGGGCACTTTACAAGAACTACATACAATAGATGAGGAAGGTAATGAACATTTTCCATCAATGAGAGAAATAAAAGAAGCAATTGAAAATTCATTAGAAGTAACTCCACAAGAGAAATGTAAAAGACTACAACGAATGAAAATTCAAAGAGGAGAAAGCATAAAAAACTTTAATTGGAGATATAGGAAAATTTATAACAGTCTACCAAAATTGTACCAAACATTTATAACAATAGAAGATTATGCTGATTCGATTATCTACCGTCCTTATGCTAGATCACAAGTAATAACACAACGATGTATAGATCTTGAAGATGCTTTTGAAGAAGCAGAGTTAGCTGAAAGAGCTGAAGAAGGAGGAAATCTTAGAAATGAAACCGTGATGATGACAGTATTTAATTCTCAACCATTCTATTACCGAAGTAACACTCATCCATTTAAGCAATTCAATTCTCCAAGTTATAATTATAATTATAATGGAAGACAATTTTACATTAAGAAAACTCCTCGAAATTATACAAATTATAATGAAAATAGAGAATTTACAACTAATAATTTTAATACTAAATTCAATTCTAAAAATGAAATTATGCAAAGTAATAATTTAGAAAATACCACACAAAATATTAAAGATAGTAAAATAAGAAATAACTTGGTAAATAATGAAATCAAACAAGCCAGAAATACATTTAATTCTGAGAAATCCCATATTATTTGTTACCGTTGTGGACAACAAGGACACATTTATAAACTATGTCCTTATTCCTTTAAAGAATTTGCTAAACTAAGAAATCAAAATAATACAATAAATTCAAACAATCATTTAAACTTCTAAACGGGAGAAGGGAAACTCCCAGTAATCAAACCAATGATGAAATAGTAGCTACTGCAGTTAGAAGAAAAGGAAAACAAGTTTTTGAAAAACCATATTCAAGAGATAAAAGAAAACAAAATGAAAATAAAGTAAATGATAATACTTCTAATTCTAATAATATCATACAAGAAGATAATGAAGATATAGAAATTGAAAACAACGAAATAAATATAATATCTAACACTCCTATAAATGAAACCGAAAGACTTGAGGAGATTGATGTATCAGTTATTGCGCAACCCTCAATCAACAAAGCTAAACGAAATTCAAAGAAACAAAAAGAAAAAGAAATATTAGAAAGCACTAAGAATCTCGAGGTTAGTTCTAATAAAGAATCTAGAGTTAAACTTCCAAGTGTAGAATTAGAAGAGAAGAAAGTTAAAACCAACAATCCCAATAAACAAATAACCATTATGGAAGGTCAATCAAAATATGATATTTGTAAAGACATAAGTACTAGGTTTGCTAATATTACATTACCTCAATTATTGGATGTTAGTCCTAAACTCCGTGCTGATATTGTAAAGGCCTTAAAATTAAAAACCACAGAAACAATTAAAGAGACTCCTGAAGAAGTTGTATTATCTGCTATACGTAGGGAAGATGTTGCTACAGTTGAATGTTTAATTAATGGAGTCCAAGGTATTGCATTTTTAGATACAGGCGCAAGCATTAATATTATTACTAGACAATTTTTAAACAAGTTAGGAGATGTAAAACCAATTGGATTTGTTAAAAATAATATTGTTCAATTATTATCTAAAGAGAATGTTAATACTGAAATCTACTTGCTAAAAGTTCAACTTGGAGATTTAGCTATTCATGATATATTCCGAGTTATAGATAATCACCAAAACCTATTTGATGTTTTAATTAGCTATAAAACACTTAAAGAAAATAATTTATTTATTAATCCTATTAATAATAATTTGTGCATAATGAAAGAAAATAACAAATGGATGTGTGTCAAAAATCTTTGCAAAGAAGAGAAAGGAAATGTTATTAGTGATGATGAAGATGCTGAATCAATAATTATATATGATAAAACAAATTCTGATATTAATAATAATTCCTACCTTTATTGCTTTGTTAATGAAATTGATAATATTAATAATAACTTAACAATAACTCAAAATAAAATAGAAGACTCTAAAACAATAACTAAAGAAGTAGATATCATTAATGAAAATGGTGTTTTTGAAAAAGATCAACTCCTGCAAAATATACTTAAAGGAATTCCAAAAAAGCTAAGAAATGAAGTAAAAAAGTTATTTGATGAATATAATACTATTCTTGCCACAAAAATTGATGAGTTAAAACCAACTAAATTGTTACCTCATAGTATTCAACTTGAGCCTAACGCTAAACCGATTAAACAGAGATGTTATCGACTTTCTAAAGTTCAAGCATTAGCTCTTAAAAAGGAATTAGAAAAACTTATAAAAAATAAACTAATTGAACCATCACACTCCCCTTGGTCTTCTCCCGTTATTTTAGTGCCTAAAAAAAATAAACAGTGGAGAATATGTATAGATTTTCGAAAACTAAACAATCTTACTATTAAAGATGCATATTCGTTACCGCTTATAGATGAAATTTTATTTTCTATCGGGAAAAAAGTTAAAGTTTTTACTACGATTGATTTATTTTCGGGATTTCATCAGATCCCTATGAACAAAGAAGATATTCCTAAAACTAGCTTTGCTACAATGTATGGTAACTATCAATTCTTAGTTATGCCCTTTGGTTTATGCAATGCCCCAGGTACTTTTCAAAGGGAAATGAATAGAATATTCTTTCCTCTTATTGGAGTATGCATGTTTGTTTATATCGATGATCTAGTTATATTTTCACCCTCCTTTGAACAATATATTATAGATATTAAGAAAGTGTTTGATATTATCAAAGAAAATGGATTAAAAATTAACTTAGAAAAATGTCATTTTTTTAAAATAAAAGTCGAATTGTTAGGACATACTTTATCAATTAATGGTATTTCCCCTATTCAAGCTAAAGTTCAAGTCATATTAGAATGGATACCACCAAAAAATGTTACACAATTACAATCTTTCCTTGGTGCAGTGGGTTATTACCGTAAATTTATTCTTAACTTCGCTAATATAGCAAAACCATTATTTAAACTTGTTAAAAAAGGT